TGAGTCTTTTTGGTTCATTTCTGTTAGCATTGACTCTCTGCCACCATCATATTTCAAATACTTTGAAGAATTAAAGGAAGTATTAAGAGTTTCAGAGAAAATTTGATTTTTTTCTTAGGTTCATGAGGTTTTGGTGACTCATATTGCCTCCCTATGTTTTTGTCACCTCCCACTCCCACCTGAGCAGAGAAGGCTGTTGGTTGTGACAGAAGCATCAAAACCGCTGGATGTTGGGGCTCTGGGTTCTCCCTGGGCAAGTGCAGGCAGTTGCAGAGAGAGGAAACGAGGCCCAGACATAATCTAGCCCATAGACTCACCCCAGAGTGGATTGTATTATTATCTCCGTTCTCTGGGTGGTGTGTTACAGAACGTAGGACCAAATAAGGCCATGAATTCTGAAACTCTCTCTGCTTCAGGTCTGTTTGAAATCCACGGAGCAGCCGTTGTTCCCACTGTGAGCGTGATAGCCCCGGAGAAGCTGTCAGCCAGCACCAGGCGGCGGTATGAAACTCAGGTACACGGCAGAGTTTCTGAGGGTTTCTAACGTGAGCTACAAAGGAGGAAGAAAACTGGAATTAAATATACTTAATACGAGCATTAGAATGTACTACAGCCATTTGGGAGTGACAGAGATCAGTGCCTGCCCCACGGAGGTGGTCCCTCGAGGACTGAAACAGGCAAGGAGGAAAGGTTAGGGTATTCCAGATGGGAGGGACAGTAGGAAAGGCCGTATGGGACAGCGTTAATGAGTACAGTAGGGATGCTGGCCTCACTTGGGAAGAGGGTATTAGAGAGTGGCCATTTTTTAGAAATGTAATTAGATTGAAGTACAAAAGATTAGGTTACCTCATTTTTGTAAGCTGTACTAGCTGTTTCTCAGGATTTTAGTGGAAACTCATTTTTCACGTCTTTCTACCATATTTCAGTTCCATGTTTTCATTGCTGTAACCTTCCCCTTTTTCCAAATTTAGCTTGATACTGAAATCTCCATGCTTCCTTGTGCACTATTGCACTGCACTGAGCTTTTACCGGGTGTTCTTTCAAAATTATAAATAAATAAGCAACCAGGTGGATTATTAAACATTATCATGATAAAGATAGGCTGTGAAATCTCATTCTCCCTGAGACCATAATAGGATACACATACATCTTCCTGAGTGGTTTAAGAGCAAGTCCTAGGATAATATTTGGGATCCTTTCTAGGCTTTGGTTTGTCATCTGTGATTGTTTCCTGGAATAGGGCATAAAATTACAAGAAAAATGGCTTGCTTTGACAGGTTCTGAATTCTGACATGACTTCTTCTTGTTAGGTACAAACCCGACTTCAGACCTCCCTGGCCAACTTACATCAGAAAAGCAGTGAAATTGAAATTCTGGCTGTAAGTTACTGTTTTTAACATTTTGAGGATGGCTTCCATCCATACTGTCAAAGTAGTTTCCTCAGAGGTCAGGGCTTTTTTGCTCAGTGGCAGCAGTGTTGGGGTCCAAGCCTATTATCACTGATGTGAACCATGTGTAATTTAAGTCTGTAAAGAACTGGGGAGAAAATTGAATGTTGTGTGTTTGTTTCTCTCACCTTTTTCCTATGAAAGATGGAGTAGGGAGTGAAAATGAAAATCATTTTTTAAATGTTTCAGGCCTTTGCCTCAGTAAGGCTACACTAAGTGCAGGAAGCAGTGTCAAGTCTGTGGAGCGTGTGTAGTGGGTGGGAACTAGGAGTATTAGCTCACCAGGGCTGAGATCTTATCCATGCGCAGTTCATTAAGTCTGCTGTGTAGCACAGTAGCATCCCAGACTCCACCAGCCCTATTCATGCTGCTCCCTCCAAAATGATGTCATCATCACAAGCCATTATTATGTGCTGCCATGGGTTCTCTGACAGATTACATACATTTTCATGTATTAACAGGTAGATCTACCCAAAGAAACAATCTTACAGTTTTTATCACTAGAGGTAAGCAAAATGAACTCTTCTGCATTGTGGTTTTTAAAATCCCAAAGCTCTGCCAAAAGAAGACTAAAAATGGTATTATTTTCTCAGTGATATTAGGTATTTCTAATGGCAGTTCCAGGAATTTGGTGATGTTCCTGCATGTGACATATATAACTAAATCAGATTCTGAAGGAATCACACTTTTCTAGTGACTTTCTTTTAAATTTTAGAGGTTACTTAACAAATACCTAGTGTTTTTATTGAATGTCAGGCTCGGGCAGGCCTTGTCCTCACCATTTTATAATTATTAAACTCATTTAAGCAAAACAACCTCAAGAGAGAGGTACTGTTATTATTATCCCCATTTTACAGAGAACAGAAGAGGTTAAATATCTTACTCGAGGTCACCCAACTTGTTAAGTAGTAGAACCAGGACTTGAACCTAGGCAAAGTACTGGAATATATGTTCTTAAACACTGTACATGCTCTGCTGTTTCAAACCTTCATTCCAAGTAGGAAAGCCATTTGTAGAACTAGAACTAACTATATGGAAGATCTTTTTGTAAGAAGTAAATTTAATTAGGTCATACTTTGTTTCTTTTTTTTACAAGTACATACCCTAATTATCAAATAGCCAAATAAAAACTTAAAAATTTGAATAATTAAACCTTTGTTGTCAGGAATGCTTAACAGCTTAATCACAGCTATAGGTGATTTTTGCAACATGTCATATCAAAGAATACTCTGTCTATCCAAAGTGTTTAGTCACAGATTAAATCTGATGAAAAATGAACCTTGTCCCAGGAGTAACATTCCATACTGCCTTTTCTGTGTTGTCTTGTAAATAAGCAAATGCCACTATACTGGCAATGTATTGTTTTATGAACCATTCAAATGGATGCACATCAGAGGTGGTTAAGTCCATTTTACACAAAGGGTAGGCAGAAATAACTGGTCTAAAGTCACATTAGCACAATGCAGCTGCAATATTGTTAATCAGGGTCTAATAGGCTGTTGAAAGAAAATTGATGCTTCAAAGGGAGAATCCCAGCAGTCTCCCCATCAGTCCTAGTATCTCCCCCTATAATGATGTCATCACTTAAAGGAGGGAATGGCATTGGCCTTTCATTAGTGACCCAAAAAAAAGCAAGTTAATAAACCCTAGTACCTGTTGTTAAGCCTTATCTATTTTTTCCTAGTGGGATGCTGATGAACAGACATTTAACACAACCGTGAAGCAGCTGCTGTCACGTCTGCCAAAGCAAAGATACCTGAAATTAGTCTGTGATGAAATTTATAACATCAAAGTAGAAAAAAAGTAAGTTATCACTTAGGCATCACAGATTTCAAAATTGGTTAAAACTTAAGAAGCGGTTTTAAAGTGACATAGTGTACAAGGAGGGACCAAAAAAACCCAGAATTATCTTCTGGAAGGTGGGACCCTTGTAGTACAGGCTTCCCTTGCTGAGTGTTCTAGGAACCCAGCTCTATCAGTGTACCAGCTGGCATTGTTGTGAGAGGCTGCATTTAGCTTCAGTGAATTTTTTAAGACTATTTCAAAGCATTTGTCCATTTCATGATGGGTGATTTACTAACATACCTGGCCACAGTGTCCTGAGTATTAAGCAGTTTTTGACCAAAAACAGCTTGACCCCCGTGCCTTACCCTCCCTATTCACCCGATCTCACCCCAAGCGACCTATTTTTGGTTCCCTGGGTAAAAAAGTCCTCAAGGGGCATTTTGCCATTGTGGAAGAGGTGAAACAAAAAACGGCAGAAGCACTACAAGGCCTTCAAAATCAACAAGTTCAAAAACTGTTCTGAGCAGTGGCAAAAACATTTCAGTAAGTGTATTGCATCAAATGGAGAGTACTTTGAAGATGACTGAAGTTTCTTTCTAAATATTTTTTTAAAGATTTTTAAAATTTATTTTTAGAGAGAGGGGAAGGGAGAAAGAGGGAGAGAAGAAACATCAATATGTGGTTGCCTCTCACACGCCCCATCCTGGGCACCGGGCCTGCAACCCAGGCAGGTGCCCTGACTGGGAATCAAACCAGCAACCCTTTGGTTGTCAGACTGGCACTCAGTTCACTGAGCCGCACCAGCCAAGGCTGAAGGTGATTGAAGTTTAAACATGTAAGAGTACACACAGAATTTCTTTTATAAATTCCAGTTTTTTGAGTCCCCCCTCATACTGTCTTGTTGAGATTTGGTGGCTGGTAAGTTATGTCAGAACTGTAGCTGGTAACCACTAAATCTTCCTCAGGGCTGTATCAGTCACAATCCTGTCAGTAACAGAACAGAGGTCCCAGGAGTAGCCATCCCAATTACTGTTTTAATCTCTCAGGTTAACTCCTAGAAATATGTTCAAATAATCAAAAAACAGTTGTGCCTATTTTGCTTTGTCTTCATGTCAGAGGCCAGTTTGTTTATGTGATCTTCCACTTAAAGGCAACAACAAAGCCTGTGAAGGGAATGGCGGCCTCCTTGTATAGGACCTTAGACTGCAGACCCTAGCCAGTCACAGCTTTTGTAAAACTTGTGTAATATTTTTAGTGCCTAGCCTTCCATCTCACTGTTACTCTAAAAATAATTTTTGATTAACCTTGTTCTTCATCCATCATATTGACCCTACCTTTTCCTTTCTTTTACAGGGTGTCTGTGCTATTCCTGTACAGCTACAGAGATGACTACTACAGGATCTTATTTTAATCCTAAAGAACAGTCACTGCATTGTTTAGACAGGAGCTTATTATTATAAAATGTTGTACATTCATTGTAATTTTAAAGTACCTTTACATTCTAAGAAGCTGTGACACAAAGTGGAGCTTTGTACATTTTTCATATGTAATATATATATATAAATTTATCTTTTTGAATATAATAAATGCTTTCATATATTTGCTTATTTTTAATTGCAAATCTATTGACACTAAAGGTTTTGTGGAGTTAGGAGACAAAAAAAAAAACCTTGTTCTTACCTTAGCCCCTAATGACTAAGCACATGACAAACGTCCAAACTGAAGGGCATAAAGAAATCAAATATCATCATTAACTTTATTCTTTAATTCATAATCTTTATTCTTAATTTTATAATATGTTTATCCTAAGGTGCTTAAGCAAACTGTCATTTGACTATGAGAACTCATTCAAATTTGCTAACGGTACTACGATGATAAAGTTATATAACCAGTTGGGAAAAACACCCACAAACTAACACAACTTTTAATAAAATTTCCAGTTTTAATTCCAATAACCTAGAAGATTGGGCTAAAAGCCTGTTCATAACCCTATTGTTCCAGAATCAGTAATTATTGCCAGAACTATTAACACGGGGAGGGAAAAGGAATAAATAAAAGATAGTCAGTGTGATAAATAGACAGGTTTAATGGTACATTGCTCATCACACAGACGGCGGCAGAGACTTTAAACTATAACCCAGGAGTATACAACTGTGCAACACAGGCTAGACAGCCATGTCAAAAAGAAAATGGCTTCTTATAACCACCCTGTAAACATCACAGCTCTTGTTCCATCCAAGTGACCCTAATCTGACATGAAAACAGAATGCAGGGGAATCAGAAACCTGGCTTTGTGGCCAAAAGTAAAAACCAAAGGAAAAATAGCAATTCAATGGTTAGTTGGTGAAAACAGAATCTGGTGCCCTTCACTGTGCTGCTTTGCTCTTCTTGCTCTTGCTCTTTTTGTCCCTCTTCTTCAGTCCATCCATGTTAGCTCTCAACAGGTTTGAATAAGCCTAAAAGATACAGAGCACGGCTTTAGTGGGAAGAGCTGCAAATAGGTGGAGAAGCTACCCCGTTTCTATAATGGATTTAATGTTGCCAAAATCAGAGTCTACATGATAAAGCATATATCATCATGGGACTCTTGTACCTGAAGGAAAATGGTGTATGAGGAAAACACTCTCACATTATAGCACCTTCTGCAACACTCACCCACAGTGAGTTGCACTTTTTTTTTAAGCACAAAGGGATAAATGGAGGCAACTTCTTGTTCAACTTTATTATAGGTAGAGCATATCTGAGGCCTAAGATGGCAAAAATTTAGCTTATAAAAACTAAAAAGGAAGACAGTATCAGTGTTAAAAGTAAAGTTCATAGCCTGGCAGCTATGTGTTCATAAACTATTAGTAAAACATCATAGGAGAACAGTGAAGCTAAATACCAATTTTAACCCAGTGTTCAATATTATGCTGACACTTGCCCTGAGAAAGGGAACATAGGGAACAGCAGAAACTCACCATCTGAAACTTATTCACTTCTTTAGAGCTCACCTGGAAAAGGAGCGGAGGAAAAAAGGTCACCCCTAGTATCCATTTAGAAATCCCCTGCCTCACCTTAGACAGTAACTCAAAAGCCTCAGGAAGTTATAACCTAATCATTAAAATATTTCTTCCCAATTCAGGGATCATGATACACTAAAGGCTATTTTTCTATTCCACTTTCCTCTGCCTGGGGAATAAGCAAAATAGCTCTGGACATTTTTCCACATGAGAATTGTACCAAGACAGGAAAGAGGCAGAAGAAGTAGGTGCCTAAAGAAACTATGCTTCTCATCTCTGCTGAAATCTCTTACGCACATGGCACTGACTTTCTCCCTGGGTTCTGAGAGGTGTCAAAAGGGTGAAGTACTAACCTTTTATGCAAGATGTATTTAAACTATTTCCTCCACATCTTATTTTAAACCTTCTTCCATTAATTCAGGCCTATTTAAGCAAAATGCAAGCTACCACAACAAGAAATTCTACCTCTAAAAATTCCTTAAGTTTCTGTATTTCATGATACCCAACTGTATTTCTAAAAAGCACTTAAAGTTTACTGTAAGTGTCCTCTAAAGGTAACTGGTAAAGGGAGGCATCAACTAATTATGATCAACAATGTCATGAATATCCTATACAGGTGTGGCTACAGGGCATTCCACTTCTGCCCCAGCAGAATAAAATACAGCCATACTTCAGAAACATCAGTTCAGTTCCAGACCATCACAGTAAAGTGAGTATCACAACAAAGCAAGTCACAAATTTTTGCTGGTGGGGAGTCTTGCCTTCAATTTGTAATAAACTCAACATCTGGCAGCATGATGAAGCAATGTACAATAAAGAGAGGTATGCCTGTATTCATTCTGAATCCAGGGAGTCTCTTGCTTTGCTATATTCAACCTCCACCTTGAAAGGGAATAATTAGGGCTCTTTGAATAAATTTATATTCTCACAAGTACCAAGCCTACATATAGCCACATGGTTACTACATGAACCACAAAGAAAAGGAATAATCAGTTTAAAAGCATCATCTGATGACATGAAATTGTTGGTGGAAGGCCCAGCACAGTAAGTTAAGGGCGTAAGTAATCATATACTTAAATGCCAACTCCTCCTTACAGTGCTACTATGAGTAAGGACCGATATGCTAATTTTATTTCCAAAAATATTTAAACAGAACAAGTGTTTGACTTGTTAATTTTGCTCTTGAGCTTTCTACTACTAAGGTAACACAAGAAAGCCCTGATCCCAAAACAGCTGGGGAGTTACACAATAAGTAGCCTTTATTTAAAACAAAAAACAAAAGCCGGTTCAGATATGCTGCATGCTACGTTAGGTTTAAGTGTTTAAACTCAAAAACTGTAGTGTTAGGAATCCACCTCACCACCGTGCTGATCTTCTTTTTTCCATCAGTAGCTCTTAACAGACACTTGTTGTCTGAGGGCTCAAAGCCCTCCACAGAACCTTTCCTTGGAATGGGTTTAGTTCGGCCATCATCTGCATGAAAAATACATCTTGGTGAACACAGCCACAGACGTTAACAGGTAGTTAAAATGTTAGTAATCAGGGAAGGGATAGAAGAGGACACCTAATCCACCTGCACTGCTCCAGTTCTGTTAACCACCTCATCCACCATTGTCGACGGTGTTGCCAAAACTTGGGAAACTACTTGCTACTTCCACGACAGGGATACTCTAATATCAAAGCAGATTAAATCCCACTAACAGAGGTTTGGGATCCTTAACAAGGGGAAGAGCCACGACACACTGGAGCCCACTGTAACCGGAACCGTGTTAAATAGTTAAGTGCTGGGGGCCGCACCCGCCACAGCCCCTAATATTCTCCGGTCCCTCGGCCCTCGCTGTGCCCAGTACAAGCAAGGTGGAGGAAAATAAGGGAAGGCGGGGAGGCGCCGCAGACTCGGCTCTTGGTTCCCAGACTCTGGGCACCAAGGGAACTCTTGGTTCCCAGCTTCCTTCCGGCCTCGCTGTGTCGACAGCTGCTTACACTTCTTCAAGGTGATGAACACACTGCCCGACAACCGGCACTTCTGGAAGAGCCTGGTCAGCTCCGTCAGGAACTGGAACACAACACGGCCCCGTTAAGCAGCCCCAAATCCCCGCCGCGTCAAGTCCCACCCACCAAAGAAGACAGAGGCCCCGAGCTAAGTTCCCAACTGCATCCCTGCCTCGGCGGGGCGACTGCCACCCTACCTGCTCACTCTCCAGCAAAACCATCCCGGCTCCGCTAGCCCCACTCCGTCAGCGTAAGACCCAAGCAGTCGGAGGCGGAAGTTCCGGCCAGGCTGGGAGGCACTTCCGCTTTTAGACTTCGACTCTATTCTTCCAAACCCTGCCTCCGCCGTCTCCCCGCCCCTCCTTCCCTGCGCCTGCGCTATGGGATGCCCCGTGCGGACTTGGCGGGTGGGCCGATTGGAAGTGCCTTTGGCCGTCTGGGGTTTCACCCGTCCCAAGCCGTCTCAACCGGTGGTCCCTGACGGGTGTGGTTCAGTTGGCTGGGCCTCCTCCCGCGAAGAGATCGCAGGTTGGATTTCCTTTCAGGGCACGTGCGTGGGTTGCGATTCGGGTGCGTACGAGAGGCAACGGTAAATACCTAGAACAGTGCCTGGCATATAGAAAGTTCTGGATTAGTATTAGCTGTTACTATTATTATCGTTATTATAAATTCTCATGGCAGTTCTCTAAACGCTCCCTCTTCTCTGACCAGTCCGGTGGGGGAGCCCTTAAAAGTCCTCTAGCAAGAGGGAGCGGGACCCGATCTCAGTGTTACCTCTGGATTCAGTCAAAAGTCGGGTCTTGGAGGCCCTACTATTCCAGTCGCCAACTTGAACCCTAGGCCCTCTGTAAAGTCAAGCATTTAATCATGTAATGTGCTTTTACTGACAGCCTCTTAGGCTATGTTGTAGTATACAGAGGAATAGACGGCAAGCTCAATTCCTGGTTTCCTGGGACTTGGACCTTTAAAGACGTGAGGAAATAAACCAAACAAGAAGAATAACTTAAGATAATGAGTCCTGTGAAGGCAAGTAAACAGGGTGATACAGACGAGAGTAACAAAGGAACCAGTTTAGGTTGGGTCGGGGACAACTCTCTGAGGAGAACTTTGATCTGAATGGAGGCAGAATGTTTCAGACAGCAGGGAATGGGTGGAGCAAACGTCCGAAAGGGAAACAAGTTGTTCTGTTGCCCCGAGGCTGCGGGGAGGGAGGCGGGTGGGAGTGGAGAGGACAGGAGCAAAGAGGAGTGAAGGAGTATGGAGAGCTAGGAGAGGGAGTCATATAGCCTATAATCACGGTAAGTTTGGATTGTGTTCCAGATACAAAGAGAAGCTTCTTGTTAAACTTTAAATGAGAGTGACAATGTAATTTACATTTTTAAAAGATCTCTTTGTCTGTGGTGTGGAGAATGCCCTGTAGACAGACAAGGCAGGAAACAGAGACCATTAGCAGACTGTATTAGCTTCCTTCACCACAAACTTAGTGGCTTAAAACAACAAGAGCCCTGGCCAGGTGGCTCTGTTGGTTGGAGCATCATCCCATCCACCAAAAGATTGCAGGTTTGATACTCTGTCAGGCCCGGGACGTAGGGGGAGCAGACAATCCACATTTCTCTATCACATCCGTGTTTCTCTCTCCCTCTCTTGTTCTTTCTCTCTCCCTACTTCCCTCTCTCTCTCTCTAAAATCACTAAACATATCCTCCAGCAAGGATTAAAAATAAATAAATTTATTATTTTACAGATCTGGAGGTCAGATATCTAAAATCAATGTGTCTGCAGGGCTGTATTCCATTTGGAAGCTTCAGGAGAAAATCTGCCTCCTTGCTCTTCTAAAAGTTACCTGTATACCTTGACTTGTGGTCCCATCCTCACATTACCACCTCTTGGTTCCATTATCACATTTCTACTGACTGATTCTCCTGCCTCCCTCTTACAAGGACCTTATGGTTACATTGGGCCTATCTGGATAATCCAGAATAGTCTCCCTATGTCAAGATCCTTAGTTTAATCACATCTTCAAAATCCTTTAAACATGTTAAGGTAACATATTCACCCAATCAACAAGTTTTGGGTATGAGGACCTAAACATCTTGGGGCAGAGGGTGTCTACCACAGAAGTTACTGCAAAAGTCTATGTGCTAATACATGTGCAGTCAGATTTTGTTCAACATTGTTTCATTGCAATGTTGATGTCATGCCTAGGAACCTAACTGCTGTTAATATAAATTAGCCTGTGGTAAAATTGTTTTCATTTAAAGTTATTTTGCTTAAAGCCACAGAATCTACAGGCAACATTAAGTGAAGACTCTGTTCTCTGAAGGTAGAGTCAACAGGACTCACATTCAACTGGCTGTGAGCATTAAGAGGAAAAGAGAAAACAGGGATATCTCATAGGTTTTTGATTTAAGCAGCTGGGTGGATGGTGGTGCCATTTGCTAAGAAAAGAAATATTTAGGAATTAAAAAAGTTTTTTTTCATGTGGAATAAAAAAGGCCTTGATATCCCACCCTTTGAATTACAGCTATTATGACAGTGGAGAGGGGGGCAAGAGTGGAAGTTGGGTGAAGAATTAATTAGAAGGGGTTTGATGGCTACAAGTCTCGTCTACTTAGTTTTTGTACTGGAAGGTCTCATCACCAGTTTCGTTGAGAGGACTCATGCAGATGAGGATTTCTGTCACCCTGTAGGGGTCACATTTGGCAGAGGGGTACCAGTCTTCAAAGTAACCTTTTTTCTCCAGGCTGACAGCGCAGGGAATGCTGATACTAGCGGTGGAGTTGGCTATGCTGGAAGGAAAATCGTTGGAGGTTTCTTTGAGTCCAGTTAGGGGCCAGGCGTTGTCCCAGCTCCCCTTGGGATCAGAGGCTCCGATGTGATACTGGTGCTGCTTGCTCAGCCCCTTGATGTACTATGTACTTCAGACCATTCTCCTCTCGCATGGCCTTGGTGCTGAAGTTGGTGTGGCAGCCCGCGCCATTCCAGTTCACAGGAATAGGCGTGGGGTCAAAAGTTGCTCTCTCTACTCAGTCTTCACACACTCAGTGTAAGATGAAACCAGCAACTCAGAAATGATCTGCCATGTGGATTCCTTCACAGGGTTCTATCAGGAATTCCCAGTGGGCAGTCATGAACTTGTCACTCTTCCCTACAATCTTGATGGTGGCGTACAAGCAGGCCCAGTAGTAGCCTCCACAATACCCTTGCCACAGGCTTTGTCTGCTCCCAGGCCACAGTAGTATGGACCTTGGGGCTCAGGGAAGCCATTGGAAGGCCAATCAAAAGGGTGCCCATAAGAGTATATTCCTGCTCCATCCCAAACTACACATCCATTATCTATTTACAGGTATGCCTTAAATTGGTCTCTGCAGGCTTTCAGTTGTGCTTTAAGACTTCACAGAACACCATCTTATTGAGGTTTTAGTGGAAGGGTCCTAAAACATGGCAGCAGGGACAAGATACATGTCACTGTTGGAGCCTTCACACTAAAGTACTAGAGGCATCAAAATTCCACTTGGGCAACTCTTCTATACAGTCGGCCTTGCTGCCAAGGGTCCTGGTCTTGCATCGCAGTCCTCCTTCAGTACCGTCAATCCGGTTATACACAGCTTGGACTTGATCACCTTGAGGCAGGGACATGTACACTTACTTGATGCCTTCGTTCAAGAGAGAACTTGCTGAGGTGGCCACAGCAGAAAATGTTCTGGGGGACAAGCAGGCGGTAGGACAGGGAGGCCATGAGAGCAAGGTGCTGAGAGGAGAAGAAAGGAGGCTGAGGGTGCTGCTCAGACACCGTTCTCCCATCCTTAGCTCTGCCAGGAAGTAAAAAGTTTTGTGAAAAGATGAAAAGTTTTTGTTTGGTCTAGTAATATCTGAGATGCCTATTACATTTCTAAGTGGAACTACAAAGTAAGCAGCTGAATGTACAAGTTGGGAGCTTGGTGGCTCGGTAAACATAAATAAAAATTGGAGAGTCATCTTAATATGCCATAGGACTAGCACAGACTGGAACAGTCTCATGAAAACCCCTTTGTGGGGCTGCCAGCACAGGACCACTCTACAATAACCACCACTATGAATAACCTCTAAAGAGTCCTGAGCCTTGATATCTCTAGTTAAGAAGTCAGAGTCCTTGTTGGGAGTCCCAGATTGGCCACCCTACGTCATATTCTTGAGTCTAAGTCCTGAGGGCGGGTGAGAGACTGACTCCTCAGACCTTTTTATTTTCTTTGCCTTTCACCAGGAACCACACAGTGGGGGATAATAAATAGGTTCATGGCCTGGGGAACAAAAAGCCAGCATAAATCTGCTACAAAAGATCATCAGCCTAGGAAAAGAAGTGGACAGAGGGTACTGGGTGTGTGAAATCATCAGAAAGCAAACATTGAAGATACATTATCAAATTGCTAGAGAACATCAGAGCCCACTTGATATTTGTGGTCATGAACTTAAGTGGAACCAGTTGCAGTGCTTGTGTGATCTAAGGGTTAGTCTAAATGATGACTTTTTGACTCTGAGCTTCTGTCATGCCTTGAACATTGAGCAGTGTTCTTTGGAACCATGGGGTTGATGCTGTGGGCACCAGGGTAGAGGAAATGGTCTACCCTAGAAGAGAACAGAGTCTGGAAGCCATGATTCATTTGGGGCTTCATCAAGATCAGCCCTCAATTGGATACGCCTCACTGTTTCCCATGGTCTCAATTACACCTCAGTTCTCATCAAGAATTAACAGCTATGCTGGCCCTTGCATGACATCTCAAGGTCTTCCATGACAGAACATACCACTCTAGTAATAGAAATAGCCAACTCTGCCAGTTTTAGCATCATACTTGGCCAGTACAATTCAACCACTGATAGAGTATTCTTTGGGCTCTATTTTTCTGTGAGAAGTGATTAAGAGCACCTCTTCTGAAGTCTCATGCTCTAGGTTCAGTTCCCGCCTCTGCTGCTTGTTAATTATGTGACCTTAGGCAACCTCTGAAAGTCTAAATCTCTTTATCAGCAAAATGACAATAATACTTCATAGACCTTATAAAGATTTTATAAAATATTATAATTGAGACCCTTAGGCTTGTTCTAACCTAAGGATACTTAAGTTTAATTAAAATTAAATAAAAAATTCAGCCCTGGCTGGTGTGGCCCAGTGGATTGAGTGCTGGCCTGCGAACCCAAGGGTCACTGGTTCAATTCCCAGTCTAGGGCACATGTCTGGGTTGCGGGCCAGGTCTCCAGTAGAGGGTACATGAGAGGCATCCACCCATTGATGTTTCTCTCCCTCTCCTTCCC